TTTAAGTCCATTTATGCATGCCCGTCAGTCCGTCCGTCTGTCTGTCCATGTTAAATTGTAAACAAAGTACAGGTCGCATTTATAATCCGAATTGAAATTGGGAAAAATCGGTTCAGATTTAGATATAGCTCCCATATATATTTTCGTCCGATTTAATGTAAATGCACGAAATTTGGCACAGCATAATGAATTAAGCCTAAAAAATTGTGTGTTAAGTTTCATGAAAATCGGTTCAGATTTATATATAGCTCCCATATATATTTTCCTCCGATTTAAGGTAAATGGTGCCCCAAGTCCGTAAATATCTTTCGATGTGCACGAAATTTGTATAGCGTACTGAATTAAGTCTAAAATGATGTGTGCTAAGTTTCATAGCTCCCATATATATCTTCGTCCGATTTAAGGTAAATGGTGCACCAAAGTCCCTAAATATCTTACGATTTGCACGAAATTTGGCACGACGTACTGAATTAAGTCTAAAGTGATGTGTGCTACGTTTCGTAAAAATCGGTTCAGATTTAGATATAGCTCCCATATATATTTTCGTCCGATTTAAGGTAAGTGGTTCACCAAAGTCCCTAAATATCTTTCGATCTGCACGAAATTTGTTATAGCGTACTGAACGAAGTCTAAAATGAAGTGTGCTAAGTTTCATGAAAATCGGTTCAGATTTACATATAGCTCCCACATATATTTTCGTCCGATTTAAGATAAATGGTGCACCAAGGTAACTAAATATCTTTCGATTTGCACGGAATTTGGTATAGCGTACTAAATTGAGTCTAGAATGATGTGTGTTAAGTTTCATGAAAATCGGTTCAGATTTATATATAGCTCCCATATATATTTTCGTCCGAATTAGTGTAAATGGTGCACCAAAGTCCCTATATATATATTTCGATTTGCACGAAATTTGGTATAGCGTACTGAATAAAGTCTAGCATGATGTGTGTTAAGTTTCGTGAAAATTGGTTCCGAAGATATGGCTCCCATATATATTTTCTTCCGATTTAAAGAAAATGGTGTCCCATATATCTTTCCTAATGAACTTAGTATAACCTATAAGTTAGATATAAATGCTGTACAGAATTCCCCAGGTGGGTCCGATTGGCACAACTTATTGAAGTTATTATGACATAACGTGTGGCAAGGTTTGTTGAAATTGGTTCAGATTGAGATATAGTTACTATATATAGCTTCGTCAGATTTTATGTAAAATGTGCACCAAAGACCCAAAGTTTTATAGTTTATATAACCTAGCTTGTGGAAAATTCTATTGAAATCGGTTCAAATTTGGATAGAGCTATCATACAAATTTTCTCCCGATTTTAACTAAATGATCGCCCAAGAACTCAAAATGTGGCCGATATTCTGTGACAAGTTTCGATGAAATCGGCTTAGATTTCGATATAGCTTTTATAAATATTTTCGTCCGATTTGAAGTAAATGGTGCACCAAACTCCTCATGTTTATCAGATATCCGATTGATATATGCTTCAAATTGATTTATATAATTTTGTCACATTGTAAGAAGCAACTTCATATCTGACCAAATGAAAAATTTAGTATCGGTTGCAGAAAGATATGTTTATGGGTCCAGTTTCGTTTTACTGATCCTTCCGAAATGCTACGTCTGTTCAGATTCATCTATTGAATATACCCAAAGTGGTGAGGGGTATCACATAGTCGGCCCCGTCCGACTTTACTACTTTCCTTACTGGTTTAAATAATATTTTTCCAAATATTCTTTAAAAATCCTAATGGGCGAATTAGTTCCTGAAAATATTTTCGGGGATACTTTTAATTAATATCTTAGTTTCATGGAAATAGTTGTAGATATTTTTTCCGAACCAATATATATATATTTGAAGAGTATTCTTTCAAGTTTCAGTATTACTTTAAATCCATTCTCTTCCAAAATTTATAAACTTCATGACGTAGCTAAAAATAGCCGCTTTCATTGTAATTCACTTGCTATTGTTTTTGTAACAGAACCAAGGAAGAAAAAAAATCAAACAAACCTGCATTGCCTCCGATATGGTCATGCGTTCGCTGAGTATTTCATGCAAATGACGCGTGCCCATGGTATTGCGTAATGTTGTCTGTGCCAATAGCCTGGTCGAGTGATGGGCATTCTCCACATTGGCCACAGATACGGTCGCGTTCGATACACGATAGTAGACCACAGCATCGACAGACACTGTAACGCTGTCCTTTGTTAAGACCTGAAAAAAAACAAGAACACCACAACAATGATGAACAATGGGGGGCGAAAAGCAACAGGAACTGGAACAGGAAGAGCGAACCATCAACGACAATAAGAATGGCAAACTTATCCCACAATGGCAGCTGAATTTTTAAACTCAAATTGCCGAAAATGATTTAAGGCGATGTTGGTGGGTTCATGCATCAGTGTTAGGGCCTGGCGGATACTACCTACCTCCTGTGGTGGCACATCGTATGTACGTGTACGCAAATCTACCCGAGCATAGGTATCAATGCATGGCAGGATAAAGAAAATGCCTGGAAAAGATGAAAACCATTGACTGTATTAGAAAAGGTGATGGTGTTCCCCGTTGTGTAGCTATGAATTGACAATGAACAGGCAGGGAGTAATTAAGAATTTTTAAATGAATGTTTATAGTTGGCAAAGCAGCATGGAATCGGATATGTAGATGGAATATTTTTAAGGTATCTTGGCTTTAAAATGTGGCGTCCCTTAATATTCTTGTGAAGATTATTACCAATTTTAAGGATACAGTACGCCAACAATTTTAAGGGAACCGCACCCATTCTCGATTTTAATTTTTCAAGATTTTCAATGGACTGGTAAATCAATACCAATGCTTGTTAAGGTTTGTAACTTTGCACATATATATTTAAATATTTAAAAGAGAAGAAAAATAATTTACAAAAAAAATTGTTATTGCTTTGTTGTTGTTTTTTGTAATTAAAGAAAAGTCCTTATTTTTGATGGCGGGCATGATAACTCCTCACTGGAACATCGGAATCCGAAAATTCCAACGGTGTTAGAAAGAGTACATGTCTGGCTTTCGTATGAACTAGGATTATTGACTTCGCTCTAAAATTAACAAAATGGCGGACCTTTGAAAAAATATTTTTGGAAAATCGCCGATTTTTGACCAAAAACCAAGTTAAAAAATAAAGAAGATCTTCACCGATTGGCTTTATCCTATTTCATACGATAGCTATACACTCACAGAGAAACGTGTAAAAATTTGGAATCGATTGGGTTATTAGTTTTTGAGTTATCGCAAAAGAGAAAAACGCGTTTAAAGTTTGAGAAGCCCTTTAGCCGTCACTTGATGCTGACGCAATAAATCGGCTATATCTTCAAGAGTTCTTGAGATTGTCACTTGAAATTTTGTAGAGACATTCTTGAATTAGTGTAGAATCGAATTAAATCAAAAAAATTGACCCCGAGAATGGGGGGTCCCCTTAAAAGGATTACATCCTAAAAACTTAGACTGTATAGAAATATTTTTCAAAGCAAAATGAACTAAAAGCGTAGGGTTTCTATGTGTTTTTAAGGAACCTTCTAATATATAAGCATTAATTTTCCAACATTATTTGTTCAAGATCATTCTGACTTATAAATTAATACAAATATTTTTTAGGCCCAATAAACGTTGATTTAGATAAAAAGTATTTTATATGACATCATGACCTATTGCGCAGATTTTTTTAAAAATATTTTTTTAATAACTGTGAATGTTTTAAAAAATATTTCTAAGGGCCCTCTAACTTATAAGCGTATATTCTTTGAAAAAATATGTTCATGAAAACTTAAACCCATAAGTGTATTTTTTTAAATATTTTTCAAGCGTAGATTTATAAAAAAAATTAAGAACCGTCGAGCCTATTTATACCCTACACAACTATGTTGTCAGGGTATTATAGCTTTGTGCAGCCCCAAAAGTTTGTAACGCCGCGAAATATTGGTCCTAGATCCACCTTCAAGTATACCGATCGTCAAATCTTGACTAGCTGAGTCGATCTAGACATGTGTGTCTGTCCGTCCGTCTGTCCATTATAATTTGTAAACAAGATACAGGCCACAGTTATGGACCAATCTTCACGGAAATTTGCATGTAGGATGGGTTCTGGTCAATGAAGACCCCTATTGTTTATGGAAAAGATCGGTTAATATTTAGGGGATGAAATGGACAAAATACTTAATTTTTGTCGGTTTGTCTGGTCGCTCTAGAGCCCGCAATTATGGCCCAAACATCGTGAATTTTTACATGGAGAAAGGGATCGGCCCAAAGAATAAGCATGCCTATTTTGATAAAGATTTCTCAATATTTAGCGGGTCAAATGGACCCAGACTTTTGTCTGGAAAATGACAAAAATTTTATTCTATGGCGTATATATTTGCCCCTGAAGGACCTAGACCCAAAACGTTGATAGTACGTTCAAGAGGAGTGGTTGACCTTTAAATTGATACGAATTATATGGTCGTATGTACTCAGATGTGGGAGCTACACTTAAATATTTACAGGTGCTTACGTATTCAGACATTATTTAGTAACCCAAAACCACACTAGAGGGAGAAAATATAGTGCTGATCGCTTTGAAAATTTCCATGAGATTCCAGTTATAGTCAAGGACAACGCCTATAGCTTTCGGTGATGATCAGATAATAATTTTGGAATGAAGTGGACCGAAAACTTAACAGTTTGTGTGTGTGTTTTTTTTTTTTTTTTGGTGAATCGATCTAAGGCCACAATTGAAAGCCCAACATCACAACATAACCCAGTGTAAAGAGAATCTGGACAAGTACAGCCCTAGTCTACTGAATATTAGTAATATATGTTGACCTGTAGTCAGGTTTCAAGTTAGATTTTCGTGGAAGTTGTGTAGGGTATTATATGGTCGGCCCCGTCCCGTCGACTATACTGCTCCGATAACTGGTTTTTTGTGTGTTTTTTTTTCGAGTCCATTTATAGGCCTCTATTGAAAGCCGAACATCACAACACAATTAGCGGTGAAGAGGATCTGGACAAGTAATTAGAAGAGCTGTACCGAATATTAGTAATATTTGCAGTCGTATAGTCGGTCAAGGGGGGTGCAAATATCGCTAAATATTTCCCATGCTCAGAATATCGAACCATAGAAAATTAGTTTTTCGTGGAAGTTGCGTAGGGTATCATATTGTCGGCCCGTCCAACTATACTGCTCCGCTCACTGGTTTATTTATTTTTATTTCATTTATTTATTTATTTTTTTTTTTTTTTGAGATCTTTCTTTCCTTTCAGCTTGGATTGTTCACAAATATTTTCTAGGACATCCTGATTCATATGCATGGATTTAAAGAGGTCTTTAAAGTATCACACGAAGATTTAATAATACAAATCTAAGACCTTCTGAACCAAAAACGTGGCTTAAAGAATATCCTAAGACCTGGAATGTTCAGAATAATTTATTAAGGTCCTAAAAAAACTGCAAAAGATTTCCTACTAATGTGCATTGATTTATTTATTTTCCAACGTTGTTTAACAACCCATCATCATCCGATTCCAAACAAATTCCCCCATAAAAGCCATTAACATTTTACATAAATTATCCGTTGTTGATGGTTAAATAAACAATGGCATGTAAACTAAATGGCTGTTAAATGAATTAATAAAACTACTCGTTGGCCAACTTCGCAGAGCGTTTTATCTCAATTGACGTCACCACGTTGAACTTACCAGGACCTTTGGCACCGCCTTGCAGTAAACGACCCAAACGGAAAATGACTGCTCGTTCATACTCTTGCACAACCTAATGGTTGGTTTTTGGATAGCAAAAACAAATGAAAATATTTAATAAATTAAAGAGCAATGACAGAAAAAAAAACAACGAAGCACTTGATGACATGTTATGCGATATTCCAGAAATTATTCAAAAAATTGTCAAAAAAATGGACTTTTTGCCTCCGTTAATGGATATAAGACCTCCTCTGGCAGGGAGATTAAAGCATATGTCGTTTTTATGAAATGTAATATTTCGGAAATGATTTCATTTAAAAACATAGCCAGCAAAAACGTCGTTAACTCCAGACGTGCCAAACTTTCGAGACCCTATTGTCGGCAAGGATTTTTTTATTCTCTGAGAAATTAAAACACCAATATTGAATTTTTCTGCGAAAAGTTCTTTATCCACCAAGATCTTGAAATGCCAGTTTACAGCCACATCGGTTGTAAAATGCGGTTAAACATTAAAACTATCGTTAAAAGGGGAGGCACCGTTAAATAGTGGCTATAACTTGCAATGACCCTTATCACATAGTACCATCAAAACAATTAAAATTGGGCGGTTCTGTAATGGAGGCCATATCAAAAACGGTCGTATTTTGGCACAGTTAAATAGTGGCTATAACTTGCAATGGCCTTTATCATCTAGTACTATCAAAACACTTAAAATTGTGCGGGAAAATTAGGCAAAATACTTCATAGTACCGGAAATACGGAGATTATGTTATGTAGAAGCTGTGCGACGATGTGTATAGTTTTGTACCCAATATTAACACAAAATTCCATATTGCAGTCACATCGGTTGTTACATATACCGTACAGTACCCTTATATAGGGAGGCTAAATTGCGGGACCTTTTTAATACGAAAATCTAAAATACATTCATGGATCTAATCGGAGTATCCGATTTCATAAGAAATTTACATGTTAAAAATTTGTACGCCTTCTGACGGCGTTTCCGTCGATTATACTGACTTGAATCCCCCGTCTGTCAATAGTTCCTGAAACTGTACTGATGGCTTCTGATGGATTCCGCACTGTGACATATAATGAAGTTCATGGTCTGGAGGGTTGGAAAATTCATTTTTTGTGATTACAGCCTTTGCCAGAAATTCGCAATTGATGAAGTTTTGGAGATATGGCGTAATGGGTTTCGGCTATTGAAGGTTGTTTTTGAGATTACATGTCTTCAGTCAAATCGAATGAGGAATATTTTTGTTAAACATATCCTCTCTCGATCTCGAGTCCATGTGCACATTTTTCATCCTTATTTTCCTGAACCGTAAAATGCCATCTTCCTAGTAAAAATCATCAACATTGGTCAATTTTTAGGGTAGGACCCACATAACGCTACATTCCAAATGTCGGTATTTTGGAGGAGTTTGGGAACTTGCTTCAACCAAATTGGCTGTAATTTTATATTCCCATTGAGCAGGAAATATCCTACAAAAATCAATCAACATTTGCCAAAGTTTCTGGGTAGTCTGCATAAAATGATACCCACATTATTCGGTATTTTGGGAGTTACAGCACGTTTTTCTGCCGAATAGACTCTAATTTGAATTTTCAAGTCCTCATGGAGTGTCAAATCTTCCTTTGGAAAAATTAAACTGTGCAACAAATTTCAATTTGTTGATCTGACAAAAATAAAGTTTTCGGTTCATTGCACCTCCTAAATAGTATCTTTGATTTCCAAATTCTGATTTCAAATTTGTAATCAGTAACCAACAATAATTGCATTATTTATTTTTTTTAATCTTAAACATTTACTTTTTTACAGAATCGTAATCAGCGTATCTCTGGCCCATAGCGAGACCTCACCGTGAGAAATTATTTATTTTATACATTCAACGACAGTTTCAGATTTAACCATATTGGAAGTTATTGCCGAACGTAAGACGACCCCGACCGATTTAAGGAATTTCAATGTTAGACCCCTTCAGACATTAAGACATTTTTACTGGTTTTAAACTTTCCTTACTGTTTTTATACCCTCCACCATAGTATGGAGGGTATATTAGTTTTCTTTTTCCGTTTGTAACGCATAGAAGTAATCATTTCCGAATTGAGATAGAGCCCCAAAATTTTGCATAGAATCGTATTTTGTCTGCAGGCAGGTCGAGTTCGAAGATGGGCTGCATCGGTCCATGTTGAGGCATAGCTCCCATATATAGGGAGCGCGTTTGAGCGTGTTTTTCAACCGAACTCGCTGAAATTTATTACTTTCAGTTGTTATTGGGTAGCAAATTACCCCACTAAAAATTATAGATATAGGTCCATTTTTTTCGCTGTGACATTTTTGAAAAATTCATTTCAATTCATAGGTCCATTTTTTCGGACAGCCCCCATCTAAGGGTACCCCCAATTTTCGGTATTTTGACGTTCTTGAGCGCTCTTTTCAACCGAATTCGCTGAAATTTGGTACTTCGAGTTCTTATTGGGTGGCAAATCTCCCCACTAAAAATTATAAATATCGGTCCATTTTTTCGGACAGCCCCCATATAAAGGTACCCCCAATTTTCGGTATTTGAAGGTTCTTCAGCGCGTGTTTCAACCGAATCCGCTTGAATTTGGTACTTTCAGTTCTTATTGGGTGGCAAATCTCCCCACTAAAAATTATAAATATCGGTCAATTTTTTGGGATAGCACCCCTATAGGGGTACTCCCCAATTTTCGGTATTTTGACGTTCTTGAGCGCGCTTTTCAACCGAATTCGCTGAAATTTGGTACTTTGAGTTCTTATTGGGTGGCAAATCTTCCCACTAAAAATTATAAATATCGGTCCATGTTTTGGGATAGCACCCCTATAATGGTACCCCCAATTTTCGGTATTTTGGGTGTTTTGGTCGCATTTTTCTTCCTACTAAAAATTATAAATATAGGTCAATTTTTTCTGGTACCCCCCCCCCATATAACGGTACCCCTCAATTTACCGTATTTTGGGGTTCTTGAGCGCGTTTTTCAACCGAATTCGCTGAAATTTGCTACATTTGGTTCCTATTGGGTACTAAATGTCTCCACAAAAAATTATGAATATAGGTCCATATTTTCTGGTAGTCCCCATATAACGGTACCTCCTAAATTTCAGCATATTGGGGGTTTTGATCGTATTTTTCCGCCGAATTAGCTGTAATTTAGTATTTTGAGTTCTTTATAGTTACCAAATCTCCCCACAAAAAATTATGAATTTAGTCCATTTTTTCGGATATAAGGGCACCCCCAATTTTCGATATTTTGAGGTTTTTGAGTGCGTTGTTTAACCGAACTTGCAGAAAATTGGTATTTTGTAATCGTATATGGTAAAAAATCTCCCTACCAAAAATTATTAATATTCGCCCCTTTTTGGGGTAGTACCCATATAACCCCCTTTTTATACCCTTCACCCCACTGTGGTACAGGGTATTATGTCTTTGTGCATATGTTTGTAACAGGCAAAAGGAAACGAGATAGACACATATTTCCTTTTGAGAATGTGCATAGAATCACTTTCTGAGTCGATTTACGCATGTCCGTCTGTCCGTCCGTCAGTCCATGTATTTTTGTGAACAAAGTACATGTCGCATTTATGATCCGATTTGGATGAAATTTGGCATAGGTCACTTATTTGGCCCAAGGACGAACCCTATTAAAATTGGGAAAAATCGGTTCAGATTTAGATATAGCTCTCATATGTATTTTCGTCCGATTTAATGTAAATGGTCCACCAAAGTCCCTATATATCTTTCGATTTGAACGAAATTTGGCAGAGGGTTCTGTATTAAGTGCAGAATGATGTGTGCTGAGTTTGGTGAAAATCGGTTTAGAGTTAGATATAGCTTCCAAAGCCAGCAGTCAGCAGCGTAATGAATTAGGTCTAGAATGATTTGTGGTAAGTGTCCTGAAAATCGGTTCAGATTTAGATATAGCTCCCACATATATTTTCGTCCAATTTAAGGTAAATGGTGTACCAAAGTCCCTTAATATCGTAATGAATTATGCCTAGAATGATGTGTGTTAAATTTCCTGAAATCGTTGAAATCGGTTCAGATTTCGATATGGCTTCTTTATCTGTCCAAATGAAAAAAATTAGTATATGTTTTGTGAATGGCATGTTTATAGATCCAATTTCATTTTGCTGGTCCTTTAAAAATGCGACGTCTGTTAGGATTCATATGTTGAATATACCCAAAGTGGTGAAGGGTATCATGTAGTAGGCCCCGTCCGACTTTACTACTTTCCTTACTGATTTTATATTAAAATAGTTATCTGATTTGTCCCGTGTGTTGCGGTTGGGTAGTCGTTACGGGGAATAGTCATTTTTTTCCGTACAAAGACTATTAGCCATCTGTTGTAAGCTTTCCGCCTTCTAAAGATATTGTGATAAAAGAAAACTCAAACATGATGATAATGAAATATATCGGCAGACATTAAGGTATCTCCTCAATATTGTGATACCTCCTGAAGGAAAGAATTGAGATAAACAATTAAAATATTGGGTTCAATATTGGTCATTAATTAAGCATAGCCCTCATATAATGATATCCCCAACTATTCACTATTTCATACACTATGTAATCAATATTGGTCCCCCTTTAGGCATAGCCTCATATAACTTTGTAATCTAAATTACCGTAGTTTGAGGCTTTTATACTCTACCATGCGTTATCAGTATCTGTCCACTTTTTGGATCTTACAAATTATAGGAAAAAATACCCATTAAAAATTGCTGAAGTTTATATTTGGTGTATATAAATCGGTTTGTAGAATTATCGGTATATGACCACTTTTTGGTATGTTCCATATATTTTCATTGCATGTATTTGCCAGTATAACTATGGTGGAGGGTATCCAAAGTTCGGCTCGGCCGAACTTAACCGACTTTCACTTGTTTGGTTTGTTTATTATCCGGCAGGCATGATAACTCCTCACTGGAACATCGGAATCCGAAACGGTGTTGGAATGAGTTCATGTCTGGCTCTCGTATGAACTAGGATTATTGACTTCGCTCAAAAATTAACAAAATGGCGGACCATTGAAAAAATATTTTTGAAAAATCACCGATTTTTTGAATAGGGTGATTTTTCAAAAATAGGGAAGATCTTAACCGATTGGCTTTATCATAGTTCATACGATAGCTGTACACTCACAGAGAAACCTCCCACCATTCGCAAAAACGCTGTTTGGAGAAAAATGCGTTTAAAGTTTGAGAATCACTCTGGCCGTCCCTTGATGCTGACACAATAAATGGGCTATATCTTCAAGAGTTCTAGATATTTTCACTTAGTGAAGTTGAATTGGTGCATATTCGAATTAAAAAAAAATTGACACCGAGAATGGGGGGTTAAGCCCCGCCGAACATAAAGACATTTTTACTGCTTTAAAGGGTAAACATTACTTACGTTTTTTCTCTTAATCCCACTTTCTGGAATATCTCATAACACTTTGAACTACATCCAAAAGACATTTTCGAAAATTTTAACATAGAATTGTGGACATACCTTAAAACAAACGAATAAACTGAAGGGTGCGGTTAAAATTACCAACACAATCGACAAATATTGTAAAGCTTTGCCAAATGTTGAGGCCTTATCACTGGAATCGGCATCAGCTATAAAAAAACACACACACATAGAAATGGGAAAGTGACAAAATATTAGTATTTTTATTATTATTGTTAGTATTATGGTCAATATAATTGTTAACATTTTAAATGAATTCATAAACCAAAAAACAAATCACTGATAAACACCTTTCACTTGGCCAAGGACTTTCACAAAAAGTACAGTATCATTTTTTTTATGCAACTCACCAATAATGGTTTTAATACTTGAAGCACTGCCAGACATTTTCTTTACTGGCAATGTCAAGTGGTGTGAAAAGTTTTTTGTCTTAGTTACTTTTTCTAATTTGGTGTTTGTTTTCTTTCAAATATTCCAGAGTCCAGCCCAAATGTAATTACACATTGTTTTTTTTTTCTTGTTTTGTTTGTTTGTCACCACATACAAATTGGTGTGTATGTGCCCACTAGGGACTATAAACACATGCAACCTAATGTTGATGTTATTCCTTCTACGTCAGGAACTGTACCACTGCACCACGGTTCGTTATTACTTTCCGTTACGACCTGTCTCAATGGAACACGTAAACCAATTGATTTATACTATATGGTGATTTTCATTATTAAACAGCGACGGCAGTGACTAGTGAGTCGAAGTGGGTGGCACACCTGGGGTAGTTTGCATTAAAAAATCATAACACACCCCTCCACCCACCTAACTAACGCTGTGGCACAAAACGCTACAACTACCTTTCTAGGAAACTTGAAACTATAATTGCTTAGCATATATCCGGCGTTGTAACCACTCATTTGTATTTGACCTACTGTCGAGCCGATTCAGAATTCTTCGTTTTTGTTTTAACTGCCTGTATTTATGGAATTGCAGCCATCTGAAATTTGTCATATGTCCATACACAAGTTTTTACTTTACTTCAAAGCTATTAATTAGCTTGATATTGATCAAAAAAAAACGGTAACTATACCACGCTCACCCGTAACCATGACAAATACACTCACACAAAATTAAGTACTCAGCAAATACTGTGAAGGATATACATGGAGACATCAACGACAGTTTTCATAGGAAATGGCGTGAAGGAGTGATTGCAGCTGTCTTAACCAATTAAATTAATTACTTAATGTTAAAAATAATCTATTAATTGATTGAACTAAAAACTAAAATGTTATTACTGAATAAAGTACGTTTTCCCATACGAAACATTTTTAATGGAAATTTTTTAAGGCCCAAAATTTTAACCAAGCATTTAAACACATGGTCGCAGTAATTATACCCTTCACCACACTTTGGTACAGGGTAGTATGTCTTTGTGCATATGTTTGTAAAAGGCAAAAATAATCGAGATAGACCCATGGTTCCTTTTGACAATATGCATAGAATCACTATATGCATGTTCGTTCGTCTGTCTGTCTGTCCATGTTAAATTGTAAACAACGTACAGGACGCATTTATGATCCGAATTCGATGAAATTTGGCACAGCACATTTGTTTGGCACAAGGACGAACCCTATTGAAATTGGGAAAAATCGGTTCAGATTCAGATTTAGATATAGCTCCCATATATATTTTCGTCCGATTTAAGGTAAATGGTGTAACAAAGTCACTATATTTCTTTCGATTTGCACGAAATCTCGCACCGCGAAATGAATTAGGTCTAGAATGATGTGTGTTAAGTTTCCTGAAAATCAGTCCAGATTTAGATATAGCTCCTATATATATTTTCGTCCGATTTAAGGTAAATGGTGTACCACAGTCCCTATATATCTGTCGATTTGCACGAAATTTGGAACAGAGTAATGAATAAGGTCTATAATGATGTGTGTTAAGTTTCGTGAAAATCGGTTCAGATTTAGATATTGCCCCCATATATCTTCGTGCGATTTAAGGTAAAATGTGTTCCAAAGTCCCTATATATCTTTCGATTTACACGAATAGCGTACTGAATTAAGTCTAGAATGGCGTGTGCTAAGTTTCGTGAAAATCGTTTCATACTAGATGTAGCTCCCATATATATTTTTGTCCGATTTTATGTAATTGGTGCACCAAAGTCCCTATATATCTTTCGATTTGCACGAATTTTGGTATAGAGTACTGAATTAAGTCTAGAATGATGTTGCTAAGCTTCGTGAAAAGATCCATAGCTAGACCGATTGACACAATGTACTGAAGTAATATAAATTTTTTCTCTGGCAAGTTTCCCTGAAATCGGTTCAGATATAGATAAATAACAAAAACGTGACGTCTGTTTGGATACATATGTACAATATATCCAAAGTGGTGAAGGGTATCATATAGTCGGCCCAGTCCGACTTTACTACTTTCCCTACTGGTTTTATATTTTGGAAAATCTCCATAACAAATATTCTCCAGAATTCTCAAAATTTTGGGGTAAACCCCGTTTAACAGTATCCACATTATTCAGTGTTTTAGACACGTTTTAAACCCGAATTGATATATTTCATCGATTGTGAAATATTTTTTCAACATAGATTTTTAAAAAAATTTTCTCAAAGAGACTACAGACCTATAAGGTCGTGTTTTAAAGAACAAATAGATTTGTAATCGTGTATTTTTAAAGAAGCGTTTTAAGGACAAAAAATATTAAACTTGGATTTTTTTAAGTTATTTTTGTTTTTTATGAACATTTTTATAGGAAAATGGATTCTTAGAAAATGATTTTTAAGGACCAATATACCTATTAGCTTCAATTTCTTAGTGACATTTTTTTCAGGATCTACAGTCTTAAAGGATCAACAGACTTCTAAGGGGATATTTGTAAATAAGCTTTTAGATGGCAGCAGACCAGATTTAAATAAATTTTGTTCTACAATCAACTATCCTATTAGCTTTGATTATTTAAAGAAACATCGTTACACTGCATACCTCTATCCGGGACTTCAAATTGATTTGATGGCTACTGAGAACTAGACGTAGCAAATTACTCCGAATTCGCTTGAAAATAAAAAGTGTCAAAAATCATGCTAGGAGTGCAAAAATTTAAAAACTCTATATCAAATATTGCGATTGTGATTTCAAAAGCGGACACGCATAAACTGACATAGAATTTTATTCGGATCATGATTATCTTCGGTGAATTTTTCAATGTGTTGCAAACGGAATGACAAATCTCTCTCTCTCTATGTTTATATATATATATATAAACAGTACGAAATATAGTAAAGTCGGACGGGGCCGACTATATCGAGCCATATTAGCCAAAAAAAACGTAACCCTCAAATTTTAAATTTAACAGGAGAAGGTTATTTTTAATAAATTCAGATTTAATGAAACTTTTATTTTGAAATTTAAAACTATAGTTTTGTTATAAACTAGGTTTGTTTTAAACTATACTTTTTAATTTAAAAATAATAGCTTTATTAAATCTGAATTTATTAAAAACAACCTTCTCCTGTAAAACTTCAAATTTGAGGGTTACGTTTATTTGGCGAATATGGTTCGATATGATACCCTTCACCACTTTGGGTATATTCAACAGATGAATTCTAACAGACGTCGCATTTTTAAAGGACCAGTAAAATGAAATTGGATCAATAAACATGTCGTTCTGCAACCGATACTAAATTTTTCATTTTTTCACATATAGAAGCTATATCTAAATTTGAACCGATTTCAGGAAACTTAACACACTTCATTCTAGACCTAATTCATTACACTGTGCCAAGTTTTGTGAAAATCGAAAGATATATAGGGACTTTGGTGCACCAAATACATTAAATCGGACGAAAATATATATGGAGCTATATCTAAATCTAAACCGATTTTCAGGAAACTTAACACACATCATTCTAGACCTAATTCATTACGCTGTGCCAAGTTTCGTGCAAATCGAAAGATATATAGGGACTTTGATGCACCATTTACATTAAATCGGACGAAAATATATATGAGAGCTTTATCTAAATCTCAACCGATTTTTCCCAATTTCAATAGGGTTCGTCCTTGGGCCAAATAAGTGACCTATGCCAAATTTCGTCCAAATCGGGTCATAAATTTGACCTGTACTTTGTTCACAAAAATACATGGACGGACAGAGGGACATGCGTAAATCGTCTCAGAAAGTGATTCTATGCATATTCTCAAAAGGAACAATGTGTGTATCACGTTTCCTTTTGCCTGTTACAAACATATGCACATAGACATAATACCCTGTACCACAGTGTGGTGAAGGGTATAAAAATTACGAGCATGTTCGGGGTCGCTAAACTCAAAAACTACTGCACCGATTTTAACCAAATTGAATGTACAATCACTATGGGGCGTGAGGAGTGTTTCTGTGTAGTTTGAGAACGGCGGGACCGATTTGACTAAAAATTTCTTTCAGTTATCTGTAATTGAAGTGGGAAGGTTTTTATGAAAGAACATCTTCAGAAAAAATGCGCTAAAATTTTGAAAACCACATTTTGAAGGAACGGCTGGACCGGTTTGCCTACCATTATGTGAGTCATAAAATGATATTATACCGACAATTTACAGAGAAGTTCCTTACCCTACATGAAATCCCGAATTAAAGGCAATTTATAGGGTATTTATTACAACTTTGAAAGTACCTAAAATCAGACTATGCAAAATATGGACCAAAGATATGAAGGCTTAAAAACGCACAATAATGGCGAGCCAATTTTTCGATGTTATAAAACCAACACATAGCATATACCCCTCACGATATCTGAATCATTGGCCGAAACTTGAACGTATTCTAAATAGAAATCGAAACCAGCTATATTTGTGAAAAACGTCAATACATATACACACGTTATTATGATTAGTATATACGATCTAGATGTCTAACATATATGTGCCTTTACTGTTCCTCAAATATATTCTTCATGATGTGATAAAAGCTTTCCATTGAATCGAAACCAGCTATATATGTTAAAAAATGTCAATGCATATACATAGCTTGTTATGTTTAGGATATACCAAAATGTCCATTTGAAATGTTCAATAATCGCTACAAAAGATTACAAAAATGGGAAATATATATATATATATACATATATATCTGTATATATCTAAATTCGAATCCTACATGGAGACAATTGCGCATTAGATGCTCTAGGTGTCTAACTTATATGTGTTTTTATTGTTACTCAAATATATTTTTCGTGATATGAAAAATGTTTCCATTGATAACGACTGCATCAATTTGACTCACATTTTCCAACGGTTCTTTATAATTGCAGTGGGAAGAGTTTTACCAACGACATTTTTGAGAAAAACTTAAAAAGTGGTGATTGGAGTAATCGGATGT